GATCATATTCGAACATTATGGAGCTCTCCTTTGTCACCGGGAAGTAGTGTTTCTTGTATATGTCGTCCACCACCTGTCTCAGTATCCTTGCTCTTATCAATGATCGTTGGACCTGATTGGCTGATAATTCTCGATGATCACTGCTCTTGAACTTCTTCTCGTCGACGTACACGTACTGATAAGGCTCATTCTCATTGTCCTCATAGCCGTACCACTCCCCTTTTCGTTCCCATTGCCTTCTCTCGTCTTCGAGATAGGTGATCTCCCCATTCTCGTCGACATCGAGTACTTCCTTGAACCATACCATTTTCTCAGGGATCTCGGACTCGCCAGACCATCTTGATGATTCGCTCATTGCGTCGTCATCATGCTCGTGGTAGACAGTCTCGGCTTCATTCGGTTCGACATGGTCAACGTCCTTCTTGAAGCTGACCTTTCCCGCAAGAGCCGATTGCTTCAAGACTATCGCAGGCATCGCGATGGCCCTTCTTGCAATAGCTGGCGCTGCGGCTTTGGCGGCAGCCTTCGACTTGGCCTGTGCCTTGTCACTTGACGTTGCCGGAGCTGAATTGTTCTTGATGAGCTCGTGCCTGTACTTGCAAGCACTCCCCTTGTCGCACTTTCCCTTCTGGAACGCGAAGCATGCTCCATCATCCCTCTTTGGCGATGGTGATCTGGATTTGGACTTACCTTTTCCTTTTCCTTTGGACATGTTCTCCAGCTTATGCTCCGTCTTCTTGCTGTGGGAAAATGTGCATTCATTCCCTTTTACGCATCCCTTCGCTGACTTGAAGTGATACCAACATGGGTTATCTTTACTTCCGCCCGGACTCCTGCCTCTGTCGCTGGCACCGTCGGATTTGCCGTTCTTGCCAGCGTGACCCTTTGCTTTGGCCTTTGGGAGCATCGGAGCAGCATCAGGTCCATTGGGTTTCCCCTTCTTGCCTTTGCCACCCTGATTCTCCTGTTTGCCAGTACCGGGGCTGCATCTCTGCCGCCCGACTTCATCATCGACTTGACCGATTTCTCCTTCATGTCAAGCATCAGGTCCTCCCGATCCGCCTTGATCTGATGGTCGATCAATGCCAACAAGAATTCGTACGTCTTTTGAGGATGCTTGTCCGGCAATCTATGGTAGGCGTTGAGGCCGAATTCCATCTTCTTGCTCCCTTTGATCTTCCTGTAGAGAATATCTCTGAGAGCCAACTTGCTGGGTCTGTCTTCGTTCCTCATCTTTAGCAACAAATCATACCACTTGTTCCTGAATATGACCAAATTCTTGTCTCCAGGGAAGTCAAGGTTGAATAGGTGCTCGATGTGGTAGACGAGATCCGTTCGATCAGACGTCCTGAATGATTGCATAACCAATGCCACCAACTCTCGTCACTTCACGATCACCCCTTGTTGATGTCGTAGTTCCGAATGTCGCGTAGCGTCGAGGTACACGTCTTTGGCTTCGTCAGGTGCTTGTTTCAACATGTTCTGCATACCCATGGCCATTTTGATATCTATCGTAGCGAATCTGTCGCCGCCGGAGTCGCTCAGCAGGTCTAGGTCTGGGTTTAACCCAAGAGCCTGTTCCAACCATTTCGTCCATGTGTCAGTATCTGGATCTGCGCATGCGCTCAGAACATTCATCAGCAATTGCATCTTCCAGTTATCGAGTTGATGGATCTTTGGCCAAGCAGGAATAGACACCCTCTCTGCTTCTTTCCTCGAAATCCTCGGCCTTTCGTTCTTGATTTCTCGATCATCCCTCGATCTCCTGCGCCTTCTGTGTGTCCGATTGTCATCTTCTTCTTCTTCCTCTTCCTCGTCTTCTTCATCCTCTTCGTCGTCGTCATCTTCGTCCTCGTCATCGGGTGGATCGTCCGGAGGTCCTCCTCCGCCACCTGTGAGGCTCAACCGACGTCGACCTGCCCCTTGTCTATTTCGATTGGGCGAGAATCCACCGTAATCCAATGGGGGTGTAGTACCGTTGTTTCCACCTCCATCACCACCACCAGTTGTAGTAGCGGATTGTGGGACATGCCCAACAACCCCTTGCATCTGGGATAGGTGTAGAATCGAACCTGGCATTAGTGATGAATTAGGGATCGAATTCGATGATGATGACGGGAACAACCCAGTCATCCTCTTGTCTACCCTAGTTGAATTAGCTTGGGGTCCTCCCTCAGCGCGTTTCACTACTGCTCGTTCACGATGTCCATCTTTACTGCTGGAGGCTTCCTGTGTCTCCAGCTTCTTGTGTGCTCGTAGTTCCTCATTGTCAGCATCGAGTTGACGAACAAAACTCTCTTCTTGCTTGAGCGTCGCCTCCCGATCCTTCAGTTGTCCCTGAAGTTCACGCATCTCCTCGAGGTACTCATCATACACTCCTTTGGCTGTCAATCTCCAGTATTCGGCCTCCTTCGACTTTTTGTCCATCATGCACCGCTCTTCTTGTTTTGCTTCTCTGACCTGGGCTAACTCCAAGATCGCGTCTTGACGATGACCACCCTCGATAGCAATCATCTGGTCCTTCTTCAACACGTCGGATTCGTACTGTTTGACGATCTCTTCCTTCTCGCGAAGTAAGCACTCTGCTCTCTTCGATTCTTGCTCCGCGAATGTTGTAACGTCGTTCAGTCTCACCATCAGCTGCTCCCTGGAGTCCTCCATAGAGTATGTCTCGGGGCGTTTGACGAGTGCGTGCTCCAACTGTGATCTTAGACTTTGGACCATCTCCTCCTCGTTGAACTTCTCGATGGGGGCTCGCCTTGCAGAAGCAAAGGCAGCTACGGGGCAAATTGCCAAACCGCATATCGAGGGGTCGGTGTAGCGCAGGCACGGGCTCTCTGCAGCACTTTAGCTCTCGGATTCTTCGCAGGACGAGGTTGTGTCCTGGACGGACAAGTGTCAGAAGCCCCTCAGCTGCATCCAAACCCCGTTTGGAGAATCCCCTCTACAGAGAGAGGCGCGCTCTTGTCTGTTCGCGCTCGCACGCACCTCGCTTCCCACCAAAGCCGCGCAGCCGGTGAACGCCTATGACCTCAATTCGCAGCTCTGGGGCATGTGCACCCGCACATGGCTGGCGCTGTGGCTGGTCTGCAAAAGATCAGGACGCCGCTCATCGCAAAACCCGGCTCAGCTCCATGCCATTCCAAATCGTGGGTGAGCTTGATCGGGTTGATGACCGTGGCAACAAGCTGCAGCCCAACATCCCCGATATTTGGCGCACCGCCGTGAGGCCGGACAAGCCAGAGCCTGCTGTTCTCCGTCTCAGTGCGGTACGAGGTAACGATGACTCCCGACGCAATCTTGAAAGCTATCCGGAAGAACCGGGTTATCCTCGGTGCGGGGCATGCAAAGCACAGTCCCGTAAATTAACTGCAGTTGCGCTGGGTGGCACCTGCTTTCCATTGCACGCAGGCAGTCACTGATGACGTCATAGATCCGAACATCCAACTGAGCCAAAACCTGATCCGGTGCTCTACATGGAGCATGGTGGATATAGTGCTTTTCAGGTTCGTTTGAGTATGCCTAGTCCGGGATCGAAGGCTTGAGGAATTGTTAAGCGAAACATCTGACGAAGGCACTCTTGGCACTGCCCATGTCCTCTCTCTTTAGAGGCCATTCCCGAAACGGATTCTATTGCACCTGGGAGGGTTCTGACACTCGTCCGTCCAGGAAACGACCTTGTCCTGCAAAGGATTCGAAATCTAAAATGCTGCGCGCAGGCGTGTGGCTGCAACAAAACGACCCCTAGATACGCTTGCAATTTGCCTCCAGGTTGCATTCAAGCAAGCCGAGCTTTGCAAGGCTAAGAAAAAATGAAAAAAAGGAAAGAAAGGGGTCCCCAAAAAAAAGGGTCCAAAACAAAAGGGAAAAGGGGTTTCCTTTGGCAAACCTCGGCCTTGTGGAGGCAAATTGCAGCGCATGTGTAGGGGTCGTTTTGCTGCAGCCACACGCCTGCACGCAGATTCCTTCGCAGGACACCCACATCAAATAGAATCCGTTTCGGGAATGGCCTCTAAAGAAATACTGTGATGGTGAACAGCTTGTTCACTCCGGCTTCGGATGCGGTGTTGTCCATTGCTGCTGGGCTTCCTGGAGTTCCCAGGTTTCCGCGAACCAGGAAACGGATCGGCTGGAAATGAACCAGCCACCGATGCCCACTTTGGCGCCTTCCGACCGATGCCGAACGGCCCAACACGGAAAAAACCGAGCTGCTACTGCATCGGGGCAATGCTGTTGGCTCCGAAAGCACGGTCAGCCACATGGCTCTCGCCAGAGGTTGCAGAAAAAGAAGTGCACACTTGGCACACGTTTGGCAGCACTCCCCAGCGCACTCCCAGCACACTCCCCCGGCACACCCCTCTTTCAGAAGGCACTCCTCCAGCACTCAACACACTTTTCTTGTTTCGAAGCCTTGCTACATGTGCGTCAACCCGCAGAGCTGTATACTGCACACTACAAGTGTCAAATCTACAGTGGGAGTGTGGCTGCATGGGTTGGTCCATATAGCAAATATATGTGGGGAGTGTGGAGGCTCCGTGGGATATAGGCTTGAACTGTTTCTTGCCCGACCTCAGACCCGTGATGGAGTCACTGTTGTGGGAAGCCAGCCCAGCTGAGGCACTCGGCTCGGAAACCTCCCATTTGCCTCATCACCGACAAGCAGGCCACGTGCTGAGCTGCATCCCGTTCGCTCAAACAACCCCGGAGTGGGCGAAGACTGCAGCGCTGAATCTCCATCTTAGACTTTAACGCAACCCGTGCGATGACGCTGCCCACGCCCAACCACCCCTGCCAAACGATCGCCCTGCCTTCACGCGCGTGGGAGAAACCCAGTCCAAGTGGTCGTGCACCTTAGAAAGTCGTAGTCCACGGGGAGTGGCTTCACCTCGCGTCGGAACAGGCACGTGTCGCGCAGGGGCTGCACGTGGAACTGACCTTGGAGCCACGTCCAGCAACAGCGGCGGCTGCAGCCAAGGCGCAGGCCCCTTCACCCTGAAGGCCTCGGCGGCCCAAGGCGCCGGAAGAAGCACGGGCGCTCAACAAGGCCCGCGCCGCCTGCGGCGTGAGGGCCTCGGGGCGACTGCCCACGCCATGCTCATCGTCCTCGCCGTTGGGTGGCGCAGGAGCCTTTTTGGCGCGGGGGCGCTTCTTGGTCTGGCAGGGCATCGGGGCGAAGACTCCTTGCACATTGCCTCGAACACCAGGTCGGCCAGGTGTTTGTATCCCTGTAGCCTTGACCAGATTAGGAAACCAAAAAAGCAAATTTGAGATTTAAGTCCTGCTAAGTCTGGCAGTGTAGCATGTGCTGTTCGGTGAAGGTGATCCCCAGATAAGGGACTCTCGCCTCAAGGCACACGAAGGCAGCAGTCATATCCGAGGCGGTGAAATCAATGATAAACGCAGGAACTCAATCAAAAACGCATAAGGCACCGTTTAAGTCAACTAAGTCAAGCAATGAGTCCACGTAAAACTCAGGGGGCAGGCCGTGGTAGCAGAAGGGCTCGTACAGCACGTTGTCGTCGGCAGTGCCAGCAGGTTTCCGCTTCAGCTCACTCCTCTTGAACTGCGTGCGCTTCGTGCTCTCCCACGCGTTTGCTGAGAGCCCACCCACCACGATCCTGAAGCCCCCGAGCATCTTGCGCTTCTCCTCCTCAGTAACCTGCCAGCTGCGGTCCTGGAAGCGCTCGAGATTGATTGGGCCAATCAAATCACCAGAGCTGCTGCCTGGGTAGATCGGATGCTTCACCTCAGGCATGTCCAACGTGGAGCGGCTGAAGACATGCAGCATCTCCACCTGTCAGTCAGACACAACGCGCTCGTACGATTGAACTGCTCAACATTGAAGACTTTAAGTGCAATTTGCAGGCTGCCTAGGCCACGTGCCGACGCAATCGCACGGACTCCTCAGAGGAGGAGAGGAAGAAGACCCTCTTCTCGTGGGCGATGCGCTTGTTATCTTCCGTGGCAAACAGCCCCGAGAACGCCCGGTCATTGCCTGCAGACTCTCCGTAACAATGTTCATCAAAGAGTTACATCTCACTGCCTGCCAACACTCAAAACTTTTTAAAAATCGCAAAAATTCCTGAATCCACACATTGGATTCGGCAAGGATTTGCGTCGGACGATCAGGATCTAAGTTAAATGACTGAACAAACACTTGAGGCCGTGTTGATGGTCAAGCGTGTGTTGATGTAAAAACACAGACAAGGCACCATGGCGGCCAGCATCAAAGAAAAACATCAGGTCCCCGTCAAGGAGCTCGGCGGACCCCCTGCACTGAATGAATGCCCGGACGACCTTCTGCGCGTGTTCTTTTCTAAACAGCGGCACTCTGAGACGCGGCGCCATCATCGCCTCCCCACATCGTTTGTTGTCGTAGATGGCGATCACACGGCGTGATTCTGAACCTCTGACTTTTCCGATTTCCTTGGTCAGCGTTTCACCCTGAGGACCAAGGAATTAAATGATTTTCTCTTCATCACTGTTGCCAAGTTTAGGCCAAAAAGTAAAACTTGTCTAATTGTTGACCAAGCTTCCGCATCTGCGATCATCGTGGCAAAGGCATTCTCAGACGAGGGCTCCACCAGCAACTTGACCCGTTGCTTGACGAGGTTCATCGCCATGGCCTTGTACTTCAAGATCTTCTCCTCGGCGGTTTCCAGGTCCTGGCAAATCGTTGAACAGTATTGCCATTAGACTTCAAGGTCCACGCACAGTTAAAACAAGCGCCTTCAAAACACGGTTCTCCAACTCTCTTCAACTCACGTCATGTCGCTCCTCCAGGCACGTTGCCAGGATGTGCTCAGGAACTTCTGTTGCATCGCTGGATGGGGCTGGAGCGGTGCCTAGCGCCACGTCAGGTCTGGCTGTTCTTTGTGCTTCAGTTGGCAAAGCTCCACTTGATTAACAAAAGCAAACACCTACTTTGAACAAATTGTTTTGACCAAACATCAACACTGATGTAAAACAGTAACGGTCATGATGTTTGGACAGTGAACAGCTCCTTTGGCCACCCGAACAGCGTGTGATGCGTCTGGCGGTTGCTGAGCACCTGTCTGATCGCCTTCCTCTTCTCGGCGTCGGCGATGATCCCGTCGATGAAGTCAGGTCAAGAAACCCAGCAGCTCCGCGCGTGGTTGCTTCGCCCGACCAAGTATCCGCAGGCGAGGCACTCCTCCAACGAGAAACTCGAAGCCCATGCTCAAGACGACCTCCGCGATCTCCTTGTGGCTCAACATCCGGTTCCAAACCATCGGCCTGCCACAAAATGAGTCTGTGACCAACAAGTCCGGCCACCTGGTGTCCCATACAATGAGAGGGCTGTGCAGAAGCTGAAGGACTTCCGCTTTCCGGAGAACATGATCATCGCCGTGCAACATGATGATCCAGCGAGGTGAGTCTGTTTTGCCGCCAGAACTGCCCCTCACTTCAATTACCCGAATTCGGTTGTAGATTTTTGCACATCATCAATCAGAAGAATCAGACGAGGTTTTTAATACTGCTCTGGGGATGATCTTGACGACTTTTCCATGCTCTCTCTTTAAAAAAAGGTTTCCCAAATGGATTCTATTCCACCTGGTAGGCTCCTGGCACTCGTCCGTCCAGGAAACGACCTCGTCCTGCGAAAGATTCGAAACCTAAAACGCTGCGTGCAGGCGTGTGGCTGCAACATAACGACCCCTAGATATGCTTGCAAAATGCCCCGCGGTGGGAGAGGGCGTGGATGCCAGAAGCGGGCTTGCCGTGGCTGCGGGAGAGCTCTTGGACTTCAGTTCGCGGTGGCAACTCCGACAAGCTGGAGATGAAGCTCCCGATCTACCTTAACGTGACTGGTGTGCCCATGAGCAGCCGGATGTTTGAGTTCAAGGAAGAGCGCGTGCACCGTGGACGCATGATTGTTGTTAAGACCCTCCTGGCCCCGTGCCTAAATTGGGAAGCAGTTCTGAGGTCCATGTTTGTGTTGCTTACAAGGTTCCATTGATTGCCATTTGGCTCAAGTCACAAGTGAGGTTCAAGATCTTATGTGAAGCTGCGTTCATACGTGATCGGCAATTGAGAGCGGAAAACACTTCGCTTGCGCTGCATTTGTCAGGACCACTGTTGTAACTATTATTCCTTCTCCCTTACAACATTTGCACGGGTTCGGCTATAACGGTTTGACCGTATACACCTTTCTACGTGGTTGGTATTACAGCTGGAGGGTTCGGTGGATAGCGTCCCACGGGACGTCACCTTGCCGTCTCTTGACAGGTTATCAGCCGTAACGACAAGCTCTACACTGGACAGAGAGACAGCTGGTTTATTGCGGGTACAGGGACAATAAAGGGACAATAACCTACACGGTACAATGGCATCTTCAGCGAGCCCAAGTACTGCAACTTTTGGGAACAGCAGCTCAGAGGGATCCAATGGATTGATGGCTCTTCCTGCGGTGATGGATATGATCGCAGATTCACAGGATGAACCTGGGAGCGGAGGATCCGCGCTATTCAGCGACATATCCACTCCCACAAGATCATGGAAGCAGATCGATGTTCGTCAGGAGTCGAAGCAAAGAGAATCCCCGCCGAGAAGATCATCATCTTCGCCTGCGACACCACGGACGTCGCAGAAGGGCGTGAGATCAACATCAAAAGGTGGGAGGTCTAAATCACCCACCAGTGCAGAGTTTCGCGCCGCGATTAAAGAAAAGAACAAGATGGAGATGGAGATCGGGGAATATCAAAAGACACTTGATGAAATGTCGGCAGCGATGGCGAATCTTCATCAAGAAGACTATGGGAGCACCATCCGGATCCAGGAGCTGGAGAGACGATGCGAGATTGCTAGCAAGCAGTCGGGACATCTTGTGAGTCACCACCAACGCCACATGGCTGAGGCATGGCGCAAGTTTGAGGAGGAAGCCCAACAGATGCGCAAGGTGGAAATGAACGCATATCAGTACGGGGAAAAGAAAGACATGGAGTCGAATGTTATAATACAACAGATGAGACAAGCTGAAGGAACTATTATGGAGCAGAAGCGGGAAATTGCAGTGATGAAATCCTACATGGCAAGCGAGAAGTCTGCCGCGCAGGAATCAGCTATACATGCAAATCAGATACACCGTGAGGCTTCACAACAAATATCAGTTTATCAGCTACAGATCAGAGGTATTGAATCGGTGGTCGTCGGTCGTCGGTCGTCGGTCGTCGTAGGTCGTCGGCGTTTGGGAGTTCTCTGAAGTGGACTGCGGAAAACTCACATGCTGGCCAATTTGGCAACAATTGCGAAGTGTTCCCTGGAAGGGAGGATTTTGTCCGGTCTGGTGGCCAAATCGCGGTTTTCCGCAGTGTTTTTTTGCAGATGACACCGCGGAAAACTCCCGTTCTGGCCAGTCTGGATTGCGGATTACTTCCATTCACAGTGCTGTCCAGATTCTCCTTGTCGGTCGTCGGTCGGTTGTCGGTCAGTCGTCGTCGGTCATCGGTCGTCGGTCGTCGTTCGTGGAACGATTTTTCCCCTGGTTTTTAGCTCGCCTTGCAGAAATGCAGTTACGGGGCAAATTGCAGCCCTTTAGCTCTCGGATTCTTTGCAGGACAAGGTGGACGGACGAGTGTCAGAAGCCCCTACGCTGCATCAAAGCCTGGGCACCGCGTGCCTGGGTCACTGTGCGACCTTCCAAGCAACCCGCCAGGCGTGGCGAGCTTCCGCTGGCCATTGGCGTGCAGCGCCTGGGAGAGGGAGACCTCCACAACATGGTTGGAGTCCCGCTGGACCGCTGGAGGAGCTTGCGGAAGTTGCGCTGAGGACGCAGCTTCAACGGTAAGGCCCGTCGAAAGGAGGCTGATGAGCTGAGAACTACGGACCACGGTCCGAGCAACGTTGCCGACCGAGTCCAGGTCGTAGACCTCCCCGTCAAAAAGGTGTGCGCCGTTCGGCTTTGTTGGGGGGTTGTAGGAGTCTCAAGCTAGAAGCAGTGCAGCAGGCCGTTAACGTGGTCCCTTGTGTTTTAGGCCGGTTGTGAATCTTTTGCGCTGTGGCCGTTTTATGCTTCTAGCCTTGACGCTCTGCGTTGGCTGGGAAAACCGCGTCCCTACCCTTCACGCCAGACGCGGTCCTGCCTGGCTACATCACGGGACCCGCGGTCCTGTGATGGTGGTTTGCGACACCGTGCGCACTCTCGCAGCCTTCATGTTTCAGGGGGGGAATACCTCGCCCCCGTTGACCAGGGCACCGCGTGCCTGGGTCACTGTGCGACCTTCCAAGCAACCCGTCAAAAAGGTGTGCGCCTGTGTCGTTCGGCTTTGTTGGGGGTTGTAGGAGTTTCAAGCTAGAAGCAGTGCAGCAGGCCTTTAACTAGAGGGTATAACAAATGGATTGAGGAAATTTTGTGTTAGCTTTCCCACCTACCTAGATTGGTTGCCCGCAACATAGTAGAGTTGATGGTTTTCTAAAAATTTCAAGACGACGGATGGGAAAAATCACTCGCGAGCCCAACAAGCACAAAGGGGAACAGGCTTGCTGCAACAAAGTTGCTTGCTGTGTATTTCCCTGTTGCTTTGGTTTGTTGCTTTGCCGTTTATGGAGGGAAGCCAACGCTCGAGCGCACGAACCTGAGTTGTGGTTTGAGTTTTGTACTGTTTGCGTATGGACCAAGCGTGGGTATGTGGTGGGAGCCCTCTTTCGCTGAAATCGGCCAAGGAGATGTTGAAACCCGCTCGCCCAACCCTTTGCTTTTGCCAGAGCCTTCTGAAGATAGGTCGCAACGCTTTCGGATGTTGAGTTTTCTTTGCAGAAGCATCGCTTTGAGACGCGATCGACAATGCACGCGCCCCCGTTTGAAAAGATATTGAGCCGAGTGTTTCGTTTGGGCTGCGGAGTGAAGAAGTGGAGTCAAGTTTTGCGCGTGGCAAGTTTGAGGTGTTTATGGAATCTGCCGGTTATTGGGAGCGCAGAGTGGAAGGCCCTCCGCACTTTCCCACTATCCGCTCACGACGCTTCTCAGCGTAGTAGCAAACTACGTGCTTTATAGCAAACATATGTGTTTTTATGCGGTTCGACGGATTGCGGCGTTTTTTCGCGCTGTGTGGAGGCCCCGCGCAGGCGACCCTTTTGTTGCTGGCCAATTTACCACGTTTTGCTAGCAAATGCGCAACGCTGCTCGCCGTTGTCCAAAGTCGCGTCGCGCATCGTGTCTTGGTCGCAGCCCTGCTCCGCCACCTGCTATTGATCGCAAGATCACCCGCTGCCTCAGCAAGGGTTCCCTGCAAGTAGGTGAGTCAGCGGGTGCAAGTTCAGTTGGCCTACAAGCCACGTCAGCTCAGTCGCAGACAGCTTTCCGCCGCACTTCATGAGGCGTTTTTGTTTTTTGTGTCAAAACAACATCTTGGTGCGACTGCATCACCCGTCCTCTCTTCATTCTTGAGCTCGTGGGTCTTGTCCTTTAAGGCGCCCGCTTCTCTGCCCGCAAACCTCGGCAAGGTCCATGGCAGCGGCGTTGCTGGCGCTTCCGAATCTTACGGTGGTGGACATTGTTTACTGCGGACTGGCTGTGCCCATCCCACTATCATTTCCGGGCGCGTTTTGGCCTGGAAAGTGATGGTGCGGTTGCCGATTTTTTTTTGGGTGTGATCGCGCCGCAGCCCGCCTTGTTGGAAACCCCAATTAGCCCTTAAGGGTGATGCGGGCCTAAATGCTGCTAACGCTCAAAGTCTTTCAAGGCCGCTTGGCGCATCCCAAGCGTTTCTATCCCAGCCGAGAGTTACGGCCAACAGGCCTTGTAAGAGAAAAAATATTGATTTTTCCGGATGGTCCGCAAACACTTCGAATCCAAAACAAAGGACTTACAACCCTGTCAGGGATCCGTGTGCAAGACAGCCCGTCCTTATGAAGAATGTTGCGCCTTGTTAAAAATGAAGTTTTGCAACTCGAAAAGTTGAAGCTTGCCTTTGGCTTTTTACAACCAGTTTGGCTCTTAACAGGTGCAGCCGGCTATGGCTTGTGCTCAGGCTTTGGCAGATCGGATAAGGTCCATGAAGAGCACAAACGACAATCGCATTGAGCGGATCGGCGAGGGCTGCGGATGACTGGTCAGCCAATCGTGAGCAATTGGCCTACGGGCTGCAGATTGGCCTGTTGAAGGTTCAGGCCCGGCGGCAGCAGTGGGGCTGATTTTTCTCCATTGACGCGTGCGTTGTCTCCAAATGCCGGGTTATTCTGCAGTTCACCTGCTCCAAAGCGCATGCTGCAGTAAGCCAGGAAGGCTTCCAAA